ATGTTCGATCTTATCGCGATAGATATCATCGACGATTTAAAATAAATAGTATTATTTGATTATTATGATATCTGTATGTGGAGGTACCGACCGCCGCCGATAAAGATTAGTCACCGTTCAATCGTCGAACATACAGTCCACACTAATTTATTGTCCATGCACGCGTGGGCTCTCGTTTATAGTAAAATAAACCAAAGGTATTTTTAATGTGAGTTATTTCATTAATTTCACAACCAACATTTGGTCCATCGACCCGGATGTATCGCGAATCGGTGTACTCAAAGTTCGTAAAATATTCATAAAAAAAAAAAAACAGTGCGCAAGGTTTAGTTTTATTTTTCGCCAAGTAAATATTCAATTGTTTTATTTTTATTTTTTTATTCGGTCTCGTTATATTGCCGCATATGTTAACAAGTACACATGTGTATTGCAATTGTGATCTACAACATCATTGGATTTGGATTCGCTAAATCAGGTCAGAGCTTCCTAATTTCTATTTCCTTTATAATAATCGGTGTTGGGATTTGCGCGCTACAGTACAAGCACGGTAAAATAGTACATAAAGTATTGGTGGTTAATCGTACTTATTTAATATAGTCGTTGTCAGCTGGGCTTTCCATACTAGAATACTCGTATAATCGCATCTAACATAAATGGCTGAAATAATAGCTCTCACCATTCGTCGAGGACAACTCAAAGGTCAATTGACTAGGTTCGGTTCTTATATCAAAGATAATAAAGATAACATTGATATAGAACAACTCACACATCGCAGAGAAAAAATGAGCGTAATTTGGGACGATTTCGAACAAGTTCAAACGCAAATCGAAGAAGAGAAAGGGATTAACGATGAGAGCGAAAACTATAGAGCAGAATTTGAAGAGTTATATTTCAAAAATATGGCAGAATGTGACAAACTTATGAAAAGCGTAACGACAAATTCTAATAATTCCGATCGTACTGATGACCCGTCTGGTATAGGAAATAGTTCTCGCTCGGTCACACCTTCCGACAACGGTCATCACGCTCCCACTCCAATTAAACTAGCCGCCCTAGAAATTCCTAAATTTTCTGGAAATTATACTGAATGGTCATCTTATTATGATATATATATGGCAATCGTGCATAATAACAACTCATTAAGTGACATTCAAAGATTCTTTTATCTACGTTCGTCACTTAGTGGCGATGCCGAACGTAGCATACAATGCCTACAAACAACGTCTGATAATTACCAAAAGGCCTGGGCTAGTTTAATCGAACGATATAACAATAAAAGAATTTTGGTACAGGTACACACCAAGGCCTTATTTGACATAACACCGATAAATGAGGAATCTTCGCACCAATTACGTAAATTGAACGACGTGTTATCAGGTCACATAAAAGCGCTCGAAACACTCGGTCAAAGTCCAAAGCAATGGGGCTCATTGCTCGTACACTTGATCACGACTAAATTAGATACTGCAACATTACGTCATTGGGAAAGCGAAGCACATAAACTAGATAGCGTAACCGCCGAACAATTACTTGAATATTTACAATCTCGATTCCGGATATTAGAAGCAGTCGAGTCAGCCGGTAAATTTGTTCATACCTTAAAGGCAATTAAAGAACAATCGAAACATAAAAAAAATACACAAAGGTCTACGTCATTTGCCACCTCGGGAGAAATTAAGTGCTACAACTGTAAACAGTCGCACACGATTTATAAATGTCCGTCGTTTTTGAAATTATCGATTATTGAACGGATAAAAAGGATTACAGAGCTTAATTTATGTAAAACTTGTTTACGTTCACACGACGGTGAAAAATGTAATGCTCGCCCGTGTCCGAAATGTTTACGTGCACATAACGGATTATTACATATCGTACCGCGTAACGCATCGGCCGATAAAACGAACAACGAGATGTCGTCGACATCGGAAGGCGTAGTCAATAAACGCGAGATTAATAGAGATAGTGCTAATACCGCGGAGACAACGAGTGTAGTCGCGCATACTACGCGTCAAGACGTAAACAATCAAATATTATTGTCGACCGCTGTTGTACTGGCCTACAGCAATTCGAACGAATTAGTACCATGTCGCGTTTTACTGGATTCTGGATCACAGAATAATTTCATTACGGAATCAATGTCTAAACGTTTACAGCTAAAAAGAAGAAAAATATCGTATTCAATTATCGGTATAAATCAATCGAATCACAGTGCATCGCATCAGATATCTACAAAAATTAAATCCCGACTACGCAATTACGAAACGTATTTAGATTTCGTCGTAATGCCTAAATTAACGAGCTACCTGCCGTCAACGTCGATAAGCGCGTCGGATATAAATATACCTAAGGGCATCGACCTCGCCGACCCGTCCTTCAATACGTCTAATAAAATCGACATGATTATAGGCTCGGAAATATTTTTCGAATTAATTTGCGCCGATCAAATTAAACTTACATATAACGGCCCTACGTTTCAAAACACCCTTTTCGGTTGGGTTGTTGCTGGTCCGATATCTAGTTCTAAAGAACGCGCACAAGCCAACGACGACGTTATAGCGTTATACTGTAGTACGAGTCCGTCATTAACGAGTCTTGAAGAACAAATAGCGAAATTTTGGCGTTTAGAAGAAATACAATGTAAGACTTATTCTTTAGATGAAAAAACATGCAAAAACCATTTTGATGAAAACGTGAAACGTGCTAACGACGGTCGATTCATCGTATCGTTACCGTTTCGTGAAGCGCCAATACTAGGAAAATCGTACGAAATCGCATTACGACGTTTTTTATCGTTGGAGAGACGTTTTCAAACTCAACCTAAACTCAAGGAAGACTATAAAAAATTTATGGATGAATATATAGCACTCGGACATATGGAAGTTGTTACAGCCGAAGAACGAAGTGTCTATATGAAAAAAAATTATTTACCACATCATGCGGTCACGAAGGAAAGTAGTAGTACGACAAAGCTAAGAGTGGTATTCGATGCGTCTTGCAAAACTGACACAGGTGTAAGCTTAAATGACACCTTATACAAAGGTCCTAGTATTCAGGAAGAACTCGTATGTATTATGGCCCGGTTTCGTACGCATAAATACGTAATTTCAGCGGACATCGTTAAAATGTATAGGCAGATCTGGATCGCACAGCATCATCAAGATTACCAAAGGATTTTATGGCGTTCCAGTCCCGACTTACCTATTCAAATTTGTCGCTTAAAAACCATTACATACGGAGTGTTGACAGCGTCCTTTTTAGCCACCGGCTGTCTCCAAAAATTAGCTGAAGAAGAACATAAAAACTACGCTAACGCATGCAGAGCAATCCGTCAAGATTTTTATATGGACGATCTATTAACCGGTGCGGACACGATAGAAAACACGTTAAAATTACGAAACGACATTATTACGGTACTGAAAACAGCTGGATTAGAATTACGTAAATGGTCCAGTAACGTGACGGAACTGTTACGCGACGTATCTAAAATAGACATAGTCCACGGAAACAGCAATTGTAACAGTAATAATTACGAAGGAAAGGTTACGAAGCTATTAGGTCTATTTTGGAACCAAGAAAACGACTCTTACCAATATATGGTAGAATCATACAATAGCACTTCTCGAATTACAAAACGTAATGTCTTATCAGAAATAGCCTCGGTTTTCGACCCTCTAGGCCTGATAAGTCCAATTGTCGTACGTTTAAAATTAATTATACAAAAATTATGGCAATTGAATATAAATTGGGACGAGGTACTACCGTCAGAAATTTGTTGCGAATGGCGGAAAAATCGAATCGATTTAGAACAAATAAATTCATTAACAATTAATCGTTTTATAATTAATTCTGGAAAGGTGTGTAATGTACAAATACACGGTTTCGCGGATGCCTCTATAAGCGCGTACGGCGCGTGTTTATATTTACGTACGACTAACGATAACGGAAATATAAAAACCAGTTTAATATGCGCGAAATCACGAGTGGCGCCGTTAAAGGTCGTAACACTGCCGCGTTTAGAATTGTTAGCCGCTTTATTATTAGCACGTTTATCGGCAAAATATATTCCATGTCTACAATTACGCATAGACGAAACTTATTATTGGACCGACTCCACAATTGTACTTGCTTGGATTTCATCACCGTCGTCGAGATGGAAAACTTTCGTAGGTCATCGAGTGAGTGAAATACAAGAGCTATCATCCATATCACAATGGAAACACGTAAATACGAATGAAAATCCCGCAGATATTGTTTCTCGTGGATGTTCATCATTACAAATAATCGACTCAAGATTATGGTGGAACGGCCCAGAATGGTTACAAGCCGAAAAATCAGATTGGCCGAAAACAAATTGCAGTCTGGGTGAGGATAATATATTAGAAGAAAAACCCGTAACTAAAATAATTATGTCGACCACACGTGATACTTCATTTTTGAACAAATATTCTACACTGTCCAAGCTAGTAAGAGTTATCGCCTATTGTTTGCGATTCAAAAATAATGCAAAGCCGAACTCTAAGAAGGTTAGTGGAAGTCTTCTTTTCGACGAACTTGAATATGCTACTACTGCCATAGTTAAATTGGTACAATCGAACGCATGGTATAATGAATTAAAATGTTTAGCGAAGTCGTTACCAATAAAAAATAATAGTCCATTAATACGTCTTAAACCGTTTTTAGATGAAAATCACGTCATTCGCGTGGGTGGTAGGCTAAAAAATTCAAGTACACTAGACATTTTTCAAAGGCACCCCGTAGTACTACCAGCTAACAGTCCGTTTACGCGTTTAATATTTTCCAACGAACACGACAAGTCTATGCACGGCGGACCGCAATCGATATTAGCGCGTATACGTCTTAGGTATTGGCCTTTAAACGGTCGTAATATTGCCAGAGCGGTTGTTCAACGATGTGTAAAATGTTTCAAGTACAAGCCAATAGTCGTTCAACCGATCATGGGCGACCTACCTAAAGATCGTGTGGAACCTGCTAGAGCCTTTGCAAAATGCGGTGTAGACTTTGCTGGACCTGTATACGTGAAATCGAGCTTACGTCGCAAGGCGGCAACTAATAAGGCATATATTTGCGTGTGGGTGTGCTTTGTAACTAAAGCTATTCATATCGAATTAGTAGGTGACCTAACTACGGAAGCCTTTTTAAACGCGCTTAACCGATTTTTTGATCGACGTGGTGTCTGTAGCGACATATACTCCGATAATGCGACAAATTTTGTCGGCGCTAATCGACACTTACAAGAGTTAAAACAGCTATTTTTATCTGTTGATCATCAAAATAAAATGCAAATTGCACTTAACAAGATCGGAGTAAACTGGCATTTTATTCCGCCCCGATCGCCCCACTTTGGCGGACTTTGGGAAGCCTCAGTTAAGTCCGTTAAATCACACTTATATAAGACATTAGGCAACGCAGCTCTAACATATGAAGAGCTATATACTGTGCTTGTACGTGTAGAGGCTATCTTAAATTCCCGCCCTCTCACTCCGATATCCACCGATCCTACAGATCTCACGGTTCTCACACCTAGTCATTTTTTGATTGGTGATAATTTATCCGCGTTACCCGAACGTGATGTATCTACCACGCCCCCGAACAGATTGACAAGGTGGAAAAGGGTAACTCAGCTCACACAGCAACTTTGGCGTCGTTGGAAGCACGAGTACCTAAATCAACTACAAGTACGGGACAAATGGTGTCATTCGAAGGGTCCTTCTCTCTCTACTAATACTATTGTTCTGCTCCGTGATGACAAACACCCTCCACTACATTGGAAGATTGGTCGAGTCATAGAAACCCACAAGGATTCAGATGGAGTCATACGAGTAGCCACCGTACGTACTAACGAAGGTGTTTTCAAACGTGCGGTAAGGATACTGTGTCCTTTACCTTTCGAGGGGAATGTTAAGTTGACGTGACCTGTTCCACAATTGTAATATTTACCATTTATATTTATATACTTATTCAGTTTCAGATTTATATATTGTTCAATCTTTAATCGCTAAATTACCTGATTATTTATTAATTATTTTAATTGTTTGTAAAATTTAAATTTCTATTTCTACTGTGAATATTTATATTTATTATCTATCTATGCTGTAATTATGTAAATTTTAACATTTAGTTTATACAGTCCACGCGTAAAGAACAGGATTTATTATTATATCAGGTGTTTATTATTATTATTATTATTATTATTATTACCATGTAAAATTATATTCTTTATATTGAAACAGCACAATGTGTGATTTCAAGGTGGGCGGTATGTTCGATCTTATCGCGATAGATATCATCGACGATTTAAAATAAAT